ATGGACACAGGGAGGGGAACATCACACACTGAGGCCTGTCAGTGGATGGGCGGCTAGTATTAGGAGAAATACCTATGCAGATGACAGGGTGATGGGTGCAGCAAACCACCATGGCACATGTACGCCTGTGTAACAAACCTGCACATTCTGCATATGTACCCCAGAACTTAAAGTATAATAAAATAAAAAATAAACTTAACAAGAGGCATTCTAATAATAAAGGACATGCCAAGCAGAGGCAATAATATGCACAAAGGCATGGGGGAAAAGGATAATGACACCATGTCTAAGGAATGGCCTGAGAGGGGAAAATACTTTAGTATACTGTGTATGGAAGACGGTGTTAGAAGGTGATGCTGGAAATGTAGGCCAGGACAAATTATAAAGGACTTCACGGTGCTTCATATGCCAAGATAACATGAGACTAGAGTTAGTGGGCAGTCATTGGTTTGTAGATAAAGGAACATGATCAGTTTATTTTGATCAGATGTACCAAAAAGGGAAGACAGACAAGTAGGGAAATCAAGTTAAAGTTCAAGTGAGAGATAAGAGTCTGATCTAAATCAACAAGAATAAAGAAGAGAAAACAGATTTCAGGAACATTTTTTTAAATGCTGACTGACTAAATATAAGTAATGAAAAAGCAGTCAAGAATGAGTAGGTTCTACCTAGGACTTGAGTACGTATGTGGACATGCCAGTCAAGAGAAAATAGAAAGCAAAAAGGGTTGGGACTGAGGGAAACAGCAGTTTTAAACATACTGAATTTGAAATGTTTGTAGAATATTTAAGTGGAGATATTTGAAAGGTGGCAGAAAATGTGAGTTATCACGTATTGCCTCAGGTAGGCTTAGAAATGTAGTTTTTTGAGACAGGGTTTCACTCTGTTGCCCAGGCTGGAGTACAATGTGGTACAACATTGGTTCGCTGCAACTCTGCCTTCCGGGCTCAAGTGATCCTCCCACTCAGCCTCCCATGTAGCTAGAACTACAGGCATGTCACCACCATGCTCAACTAAGTTTTGTATATTTTGTAGTGACGAGGTTTCACCACATTGCCTCTTGAACTGCTGGGCTCAAGTGATTGGGTTTCACCATGTTGCTCTGGCTGGTCTTGAACTGCTGGGCTCAAGTGATCTGCCCACCTCAGCCTCACAAAGTGCTGAGATTATAGGTGTGAGCCACCATGCCTGGCCCTAAAAATGTAGTTTTAAAAGTCCTAGTATACAGTATTTAAAGCCATGAAAATAGATGCAATTACAAAGGAAGAGAACACAGAATAAGAAAAAAAAAATAATAAATGGAAAACAAGACCTTTAAAAACAGAAATCATTGACAGAATCTGGTTTCACTTAATTCCTAATCTCACAGTCTATCAAAATTATACAAATACAGTTTCTCCCTTTAGGAGACTTAAACATGAATAAAAAAATTTAAGAACTACTTCAAATTGCACAAACCATTTCTATAACAAGGAACATTGTAACATTTGCTTAATTATATGTAACAAAGATCTAAGCTGACTGTGTCAATAAAAGCACAAAAGACAAATTCATACATTTATTTAATGATTACTTGTTTAGGTAGAGTTAATTAGCAGTATTTAACACAGCAAATTTTTTGCAAGACTTCCTACTGGAAAAACAAACATAGTACTCACATATTTATCTAAAAATTTAGGCCTTTTCTTTTCATATGGCTATAATTACAGATATTAGTCTTTCTTTAAAAGGAAACCAACCTTAACAAAAGGCCAAACAAAAATGCAGAGTAACCTTAAGCATTTTACAGATATCCTTGTATTAAAACATGATTGAAGTATATTTAACTTTTCTAAAACATTAACATATTTTATAATTGTAATAGTATTTCTGTAAAAAATATATACTTAACAGCATGATGTGGCCAAACCATTTTTATTTTATGAAGAATTAAGGTCTCTATTTTATCCCCAACAAAGTTTCAAAATTACTATACATTGAGCATTCCTACTTCAAAATCTGAAACTTTTAGAGCACAATATTTTTCACAAGTGAAAAATTCTACATGTGACTGCATGTGGCAGGTTCCAATCAAAACAGTCAAAACTTTATCTCATGCATAAAATTATTAAAAACAGTGTATGAAATTTCCTTCAAGCTATGCGTATAAGGAGTATACAAAACATAAATGAATTTCATGTTTAGACTTCAGTCCCATCCACTAGATATCTCATTACATACATGCAAATATTGAAAGGTCCAAAAAACAACAAAATTGGAAACACTTGTGGTCTCAAACATTTTGGATAAAACATACTCAACCTGTAGAGAGAGTGATCATCAAAAAGAAGACCCAAAACAATAAAACAAAGCAAATCTGGACAATAGCTGCATCATTATTAGATGATTTACTAAAGCATTAATGATAAATATATTCAATTCCTCATAATATAAACTAAGAATTTTCTTTCCTTGAAACACATCTACCAATGAAATGGTACCTTGCATACATGCAGCCCAAGTATATACCTATGTTGAATTTTCCTGCCTATCTCTTTTTAAGTAATCTGAAATGCTGAAATTCTTTGAGAATTTATTTTAATATTATATCAAAAAATTCATAGTATGTATTCAATCAAAAAATATTTGTTAAGTGCTTACTACATTTAGGAACAAGAATGTGTAAGACATGGTCCCTGCCTTCATAATCACTGCAGTATTAACTGGGATGATAAACTAAACACATACAAAAAGTATGACCAAATAAAACCGATAAAAATTAGAATTATATACATTCCTTACCTGTACAATCTTGTGCAACATAAATAGTTATTCCTTGTAAATCTGGGTGTCTTGCTTCTTCAACTGCTTTTCTGAAAAAATAACAAGCATTATCTTTCAAAATCCTAACATTTCCTATTGGGAACTAAAGATTTAATTCAAGAAGGGAAAAGGTCATCATTTTTATGATGTTCTTACTTAACTCATAGTGTCTGCTGTCAAAAACTATTTTCTGAATGGTATCAGAAATCAGATTAAAATTTTCAAAGTCAAATATTACATTAAATTACTCAAAGAACATCAAAACATAAATCACAAAATAATTTTTTAAATTATTAGGTATAAAGCTCTACTCCTCTCCCTCCAAAAAGAAGTATTTCTCTCAATCACTCACCTTACCAGTGGTATGAATATGCTACAAGGTTTGCTACAAATTAACTTACATTACTGACTAGGAGTCAATTACTGTGTATGGCCTCTGGTACACTTAATGAAGTTCTCATTCTTTAAACAACAGCATGACTTGTTTCCTACATTCAAAAACCTACATAACCTGAACAAATGAATTTTCTAATTTTGAATCTTAAAATTGTATAATAAAACTGTAAATTAAAAAATATTCCTGGAGACAAGCCTAGCCTCCCAGTCTCCATCTTTCTCCTGTGCTGGATGCTTCCTGCCTTCATGATGACAGTGATAATGTAAGCAAAATTTTTGCTTCCTGTTCCCATAACATTACGTTCTGCTGGCCTAGAGGTCTTAGTTCCAGAGGGAGGAATGCTGCCACTAGGAGACACAACAATTCCATTAAACTGGATGGTAAGATTGGACAGAATGGGCTCCTCCTACCTTTAAGTCAACAGGCTAAGAAAGGAGTTACAGTGTGGGGTTGGGTGACTGACCCACACTATCAAGATGAAATCAGTCTACTTCTCCACAATGCAGGTAAGGAAGAGTATGCATGGGATGGGTGTGGTAGCTCACGCCTATAATCCCTACACTTTGGGGAGGCAGGCAGGTGGATAATGAGGTCAGGAATTCACAACCAGCCTAGCCAAGATGGTAAAACCCCCGTCTCTACTAAAAATACAACAATTAGCTGGGTATGGTAGCAGAAGCCTATAATCCCAGCTACTCAGGAGGCTGAGGCAGGAGAATCGCTTGAACCCAGGAGGCAGAGGTCGCAGTGAGATATCATGCCACTGTACTCCAGCCCCGGCAACTGAGAGAGACTCAAAAACAAACAAAAGAGGGTATGCATGGAATACAGGAGACCCCTCAGGGCATCTCTTAGTACTACATGCCCTGTGATTAAGGCCAATGGGAAACTACAACAGCCAATCCAGGCAGGACTACAAATGACCCAGACCCTTCAGGAATGAAGGTTTCAGTCACTCCACCAGGAAAAAAACCATGACCTGCAGACTTGCTTGCTGACGGCAAAGGGAATACAGAATGGGTAGTAGAAGGTAGTCATCGGTATCAGCTATGACCACCTGACCAGCTGCAGAAACGAGGACTGTAATTGTCATGATTATTTCCTCTTTCTTTTGTTAAAAACATGTTTGTGCACGTATACACTTGTACTAAGAAAATGTCCTCATTTTATTTCCTTGTCCTTTATCATGTGACCTAAGATTTATTGACTTAATATCAGCATTTAAGTATTGCTAACTTTATGTGATGGCATTTGGGTTGGGGATTGGTTCGTTTCTGGGTGTATGAAGAATAGTTGTATTATGTTAGGCATAATTATGACCTTATAATTGTCTTTATTTGAAGGTTATGTGTGATCTCAGGAGATGTGTAGGGGTTCAAGTTGACAAGCGGTGGACTTGTGATGGTTAATCCTAAATGTCAACATGATTGGATTGAAGGATGCAGGGTGTTAATCCTGGGTGTCCCTGCAGGGTGTTACCAAAGGAGATTAGCATTTGAGTAAGTGGGCTGGGGAAGGTAGACCCACCCTTAATCTGGTGGGCAGAATCTAATCAGCTGCCAGCAAATAGAAAGCAGGCAGGGAAACGTGAAAGGCTGAAACGGGCCTGGCCTCCCAGTCTACATCTTTCTCCCGTGCTGGATGCTTCCTGCCCTCAAACATCATCAGACTTCTAGTTCTTCAGTTTGGGACTCAGACTGTTTCTCCTTGCTCTCAGCTGGCAGACAGACTGTTGTGGGACCTTGTGATCCTGCTTTCTTAGTTGAGCTGTCTTCCTGAGGTTGTTTGGAGCCTCTGCATTATGGGTAAAGAAATCCCTAAAGACAGTCCCAACAAGTCTGCACTGAACATCAAGAAGTCTGATAAATTCTTCCAATACAAGAAGCTCACCAACAATGTGCTAGTCTTTTTAATCAACAGACAGCTGAACAGGCACAGAAGTGACATCAACCTGTCAAGGAGGCTGTGGATGCTGTCATAAAGCAAATCCAGGGTGGACATGGCCTTGGACAAAAAGTCATGTGGCTTATGTGCTGAGGCCTGCCCAGAATTTAGAGAATTTAAACATAATTGAACAATAAAGCACTCCCACGTTTGAGCCATTATATATATATATATATATATTTTTTTTTTAAAGGAGTCTTGCTCTTTTGCCAGGCTGGAGTGCAGTGGCACAATCTCAGCTCACTGCAACCTCTGTCTCCCGGATTCAAGCAATTTCCCTGCCTCAGCCTCCTGAGTAGCTGGGACTACAGGTGCACACCACCATACCCAGCTAATTTTTTTTTTTTTTTTTTTTTTTTTTTTTTTTGTATTTTAGTAGAGACGGGGTTTCACTACGGCCAGGATGGTCTCGATCTCCTGACCTCATGATCCACCCGCCTCGGCCTCCCAAAGTGCTCGGACTATAGGCATGAGCCACTGCGCCCGGCCTATATATTCTTGAGTATAATGTTCCCAATGGTGTACATGTTGTGAAAAAAATTACAATAACAATATCTGTAAATTGTGATTATGCAAATTTTGGAAATATAATTTTATTTAATTATATCTTTATAAGTAATTCTTTCATTTAAAATGCCTTATTAGTCACGTTCCTATGTGTTAGCATAGAAGAAAGATTGGCAAACTATCCCCATAAGCCAAATACAACCTGTGGCCTGTTTTTGTACCATCTGCAAGCTAAGAATGGTTTTGGCAGTTTTAAGGGACTGGAGGGAGAGGAAAGATGGCCAGCAGAAACCTTTATAAGACCTGTGAAGCCTAAAATATTTGTCACTTCACAGAAAAAGTTTGCTGTCCCCCACAGTAGAGAACATCTTGAAGGGTAGAAACTATGCTTTTATAAATGTCATACCAAGTTGGAATTGATATAGTATTAACAATCCAATTAATAACATTAGGCAAATACTTTTCAACTGTAAGCATCTGGCCTATAAAATACAGAAGCATGTTAATATCCAAAAAATGCTTTTTAATGATTTCAGATTTATATATGATTTTAAATGGAGTAAATTTATCACAACATGCTATACTTACATGACACATTAATGATTTAGTTTATTACAAAAATGGGATATACACACAAATAAGATTTTTTTTAAAACACTTAGTATTGAAATAAATGGCATATAAAAAGCTTAAGTGAAATTGGACTTTTAACTTTTTTCTAACTATCCTGAATATCACAGATCCTTTACTTTTACTATAATTGTAATAGTAATAGTCCTATACATTTACAATTGACAAGAATTTGATGTGTACAAACAAATGCTGAAAACACCAATTTTAACTCTTGAGATTTTATTACACTATCAGTACATTATAGCCCACAGGTTACACTATTAAAAAAAACTATAATGTTATACATGTTCCAGGGTTGAAAGAGATGTTAGTGTTCAGAACATTTCAATACTGGGTTCTAATGAAAACCTAGTTAGAAAGAGAACTGGAATATCTACACCTAAGAGAAAGAGAAGAAAAATTTGTCAGTAAATAAATTAAATGTAACTAGAGTCGCAATATGTCTTCTTTTTTCTCTATTGGCAAATGAAAACATCTTAACATTCTCATACAGTTAAGACTTTTAAAGTTCCAATTATTTATATACACACTGCAAAAATCAGTATGTCTTGATCCTGAGGACCTCTTTCACAGGGAGAAAGATTTTAAAACAATTTACCTTAAAATGTGAGCAACCACAGCTGGTCCATACCAATCTCCTGCTTTTTTCCCAGATTTCTTTCCATATTCTATTAGTTGATGTAAGCCAAAAAGAGCCAAGGGGGAATCACCAAACCAAGAGATGATTTTCCTGTGATACATTTCATTTCGCATTTCATGATCATCAGAATATTTCCCAATTGTTTCTTTCAGAGAAATTGTTGGGGTTTTGAGTTCTCTTTCCCCTGAAAGCGATGCTTCAAATGATGCTGTAAATTTTTTGACAGTGTGGGAAGTCCATGATTCAGAGTCTGAATTTTCAATATTCAAAGCATCAGGCCAGGTCCAAGCTATAGTAGTTCCAAAGTAAAGTGTTCAGATCTTTTAAACAGTTACTTCAACAATTTTACTAAAATAAATATGTAGCATTTATGGTCATATGGGTTACTAAAATAAGATAGTAAATTCAGAAATAAGAAAATACATGAAAACAGAAAGTAGATTAATGGTTGCTTACGGGGAGGTATTGGGAGTGGTTGTTAATGGGTATAAGGTTTCTTTGAGGAATGATGAAAGTGTTCTAAAATTAGATTTATGGTGATGATTGTGGAACTGTGTAACTATGCTAAGAACCACTGAATTGTTCACTTGAAAGGAGCAAATTTATGATAGGCTATATCTCAATAAAACGGTAATTTTCTGTAGTTTCCAAAAAGTCATAACCAAAAAAAATTACAAAAATACAAGACAAAAGAAAGAAAAAATGGTAACCTTGGGTAAAAATGGACAATCCCAGATGTTCTTTTTTCTGTTCTTTGATAGTGCTGAGATAGAATAAAGACTTTTGTATTTCATTATCAAACTGCTTATCAAACATCTAGTCTTGACCACCCAAAGGCACAATAAACATTATAATACTAGTAAAGAGGATATCAGGCAGGCAGTGGTTCACGCCTGTAATCCCAGGACTTGGGAGGCGGAGCCACAGAATGGCTTAAACCTGGGAGGTGGAGGTTGCAGTGAGCCAAGATTGTGCCACTGCACTCCTGCCTGGGCAACAGAACAAGACTCTGTCTTAAAAAAAAAAAAAAAAAAAAAAAAGATATCTTCAGAAACTGGATGTTTTGATTATATGTTAAATAGAAGTCTGACCATGGAAATTTAAAATTTTTTTTTTCAAAGTATTTTCCTGTACATTTCTTCAGAATAACTTAATCATTATTTACAGAGTAGTAACAATTCTCTAACAGTTAATAAATGAAATCATAAAAGATCAAAGACCTCAAAAAATCAAATATATCGGGCCGGGCACGGTGGCTCAAGCCTGTAATCCCAGCACTTTGGGAGGCCGAGGCGGGTGGATCACAAGGTCGAGAGATCAAGACCATCCTGGTCAACATGGTGAAACCCCGTCTCTACTAAAAATACAAAAAATTAGCTGGGCATGGTGGCACGTGCCTGTAATCCCAGCTACTCAGAAGGCTGAGGCAGGAGAATTGCCTGAACCCAGGAGGCGGGGGTTGCGGTGAGCCGAGATCGCGCCATTGCACTCCAGCCTGGGTAACAAGAGTGAAACTCCATCTCAAAAAAAAAAAAAAAAAAAATCAAATATATCCATTATGTCAAAGCTTTGAATAACAAGACAATCCCCAAACATGCATGTAATTTTAAGTTAACAAAATAAGTCACAGATTCAGAGATCTAGTGAGGACTGAAAAATATCCAAGCCTTGCCCATGACTGCACAAGACTATAAATAAATCATCCCAGAAAACCAGTTTAAAAATTATTTTCCCTTGCATTTTCAACACCATTCTTTAATAAACATTCTCTCTAAATAATCTCATCAATAATCTCTACAGAAAAGTTACTAAATATATGAAATATATGGTAGGGATACTATCTAACATTTATAAAAATCTGATAATATTTGATAATAATCAAATCTGATATCCTAAAATCATAAACTAAAATATTCCTACAAATGTACATATTATTAAAAATAGACCAACAGAAAGGTGGCACATTAGGAAAAAAATACATATGTAAGTTAAGTATCAATGACATTTTTTACGGTCTAAAACACTGTATGATGACCTTATTAGAAATATGTCTACTGCCAGGCACAGTGGCTCACACCTGTAATCCTAACATTTTGAGAGGGCGAGGTGGGAGCATCACTTGAGCCTACGAGTTCAAGACCAGCCTGGGCAACATAGTAATACCCCATCTCTACCAAAAAATTTAAAAATTAGCCAAGTATGGCGACATGCACCTGTAGTCCCAGCTACTCAGGAAGCTGAGGCAGGAGGATAGTTTGAGCCCAGGAATTCCAAGTTACAATGACCTATAATTACATCACTGCACTCTAACCTGGGCAACAGAGACCCTATTGCTAAAAAATAAAAATAAAATAATTTAAAAATTAAAAAATTTTAAAGGAATATGTCTGATCGATTTAATATAATTGACTATAATCACACTAATAAAGATAAAAATACTTTTAAACCATTATTAACATGTAGGGAGAAAATAAAGAAACAAGAGTAAAGTATCTTAAGATTTAAAAAATATTATGTATCTCCCCAGAGTCACTGTTATTGACCTGCCAGGACTTAACTAACTGGAGATAATCCAGAGTTCAACCAAAAGGAAAAAAAATAGTAACAATAAAATCCAAAGGGTACTAAAAATTGAACTAACTTAACTCATAATGGTGACTAAGAATAACAGGTATATTTAACCTGCATTTTTGAAAAGGGAATCAGGAAAGTTTACATACAAGTCATATCTGACCTAGTTCAAAAAAAAACACACAATACACTAAATTAGTTACAACTCCTTAGAATACCTCACAGTCAAGAAATTAAAGGGCATTTCATGCAGTTTGTAAACTGTAGTTCAAATGGAAAAATGTTGATAACAAAAACAAAAAAAAACAGAGATTTGATTTACCTCTTCCAAGAAAGTGTAGTATGAGTCCCTGAGCCAAGAGCATCTGGCCAGTTCTCAATGTACAGCCCCAACCACAGTCTGTTGTCAAAGCTGAGCCTTCTATTTGAGGAAATTCTTCCCTGTAGGTCAGCCATATTCTAGAAATGAAATCTTTACGAAATTCTTCTACATTTCCTGCAATTACGTGATCCTCTATTGTACATCCGGATGTTGCAGGTAACATTTTATCTTCATCTAAAAAAACAAACATATAGTCTATAGATAACCAGAGAAATGTCTATAATCACAACAATACATTATCATTACTGTCTTAAGATGTGAAGTGTATCACAATCTAATCCTTTTTTACTAATTTTAAAAGATA